TTAACTCAGGTATCTTTAAGTTGAAACTTCTCTTTCAATCAGAATCAACTGTACGCATCTATTTTTCGAGATCACGATCAAATAGGCTGTATACCTACTATGATTAAGTCAGAGTACCTTTAGACTAAAGAAAAAAAATGCTTTTTTATCTTCCATGAAAATATCATTTGTGAGTAGTAAACGTTTGATTTAAGATAGATTGTTCTTTTATTGATTATAATCACCCTTTTTAAAAGGTCCTTATCAATTTTCACAGCATATATAGAGTTACTTTTCGTTCAATTCAATTCAGTATGATACCAAACACTTTCATGATATCTCTTTTTGTATTCAGTAAAATATTTTTCTTGCGCTTTTAAGCATTTTTCATATAGCTTCTGTTTAGCCACCGAACTACTTGCTTTGTGATACTCGATCAAAGTATTGACGATATTGCCTGGAATAAATGCCTGCAAAGCACCACCAGAAGCGTTCCCACAAGGTGCCACTATACCAACAAAAAAGTATAATCCTGCGGGAATTCCGATTCGGGTAGTATGCTCTATTGAATTGAATTCATGTAGTAACGCATAATCGAATCTGATCCTCCAGCTTGCCTCTTGTTCTTCCAGAAACCAATATCGACCAGATTCCTTTGCTTCTCCTCCATAAAACCGATAAAGAGTGACATTATTCCTATGTGTAACGAGCGCATAACTTCCACCACGAAAATTGGCTTCATGACCATTTAGAGATCTCAGCTGGCTTTTATATTCTTCTTCATTTTTTATCTTTTCGAAGTCCATTTTATCTATTGTATCACGTTCACATCGAAGCGGTCCATAGTCAGTAGCTGTAAAATATGCAATAGTTTCTATTCCCATGTCTTTCAATTTATTCGCAAATGGAACAGTGATTGATCGATTGCGTATGCTTGCATCTATATAGCAGTTCTTCTCTAAATAAAAATGCAAAACATATCTACATTCTTGATAGCTACTGAGGAGATATTATAGCATAGTATTGAAATGCTATCATTTGGTTGAGTTTTCTAACATTTCTACGCTGAGCTCCTGAACGTTTTTTACTTCATCAAGCTTTGAAAAAAAAACTATCATTTGCCTACGTCTTTTCGGTTTGAAATCAATGAGATCCAGAGATATTACCTTTTTCAGACACGCCCTGTTTTGTTTCTTGTTTCCCTTTGCTTTTATCGGACAATGATGACAATTTCGACGCACAGATGGTCGTTATCGACTGTTTTTCTTGTTCCTTCTTTACACCCATCTTTTCACGGACATCAGTATGTAACAGTACGCCTCCATACACCCTTCTATTGTGTTCCGAAGAGAAAGCTGCGGGTACCCAGGGACATAGCTTTGAATCGATAGTATCATTATCCCTACTATCATCATGATAAATATGTAATTTCTCGATCGTGAACTTTAATTTAGCTTTCTCTTGAATCAATTTTCTTTTCAAATATTCTGAGAGTTCTTGTTGTCTATTGTATCTCAGCCAGTTCAAAAGATATGACTTCAGGTCACTTCTTTTACAGTAGAATTGCTTGCAGAAACTTTTCGATAGTGAATCAAAGATTTTATCATCAGTCTCGGTAAAACCTGTAGGGTAATTCCCTATTTTTTGTTTAACATCGGCTAAGAATGCATCGATAGCAGTATTTTGTTCGATTCGTGTAGCCATCTCAGATTGACTTTCGTATCGCGATTGAATAATACGGGATAGGAAACTTAATTTGAAAAGTTCTTTTAAACGCAATAATTCTGGAAAATATTCACCAATCTCGTCATAGTATTTAGTAAATACACGTGCAAAGGCTGCTTCAGCTGTATCATCATTGACATTATTGTTTTCATCATCAATCAGATTCCCTTTCTCATCAAACTTCATTCGATGTTGCTTGACACACATTTTGAAATCATCATTTAAATAGAACTGTGTGATATTTTCATTTTTTCGACCGAAAAAGTTTCGATAATACGTCTGTTCATATTCAAGAACCGACGCTGGTTGTATCCAGAATCGATGTATACTATCTGTAATTAGTCCAGTCTTTTTGACAGCGATCGCTTTCAATTCATCATGTATGTATGATGGTAAACGCTGCATGATATTGATCTCTGATGAACGCATTTCAAACGGCTGTAATGAACAAATTTCAACACCAGTCGATATCATTTTCAACAGATAGTCAGCATGTAATAAAGTAAGAAGATAATTAGGCACCCCTGAAAGACGCTTTGGTTGGTATCTCATTTCATTAAATGGATGCGAGTGATAATCAATACTTGGTGGATCCAAAGTGAATGAGGCGAACGTTAAGCCATTTCTTAATACATCCGTCACATCAGTAACATCAAACAGATTATGTTCAGTTTTCTTTGCTTTTCTAAACATGAATTCAATATCTCCGGTATCATTGTTCAATGTGATGCCGACAACATGGGCGTAAGCTGGCTCATGTAATCGCAGTCGATGTTTATTGTTCAATAGCCAACCATCATCTGTTCTTGGTATTAGCGGCCACCGTAATAAATCTTCTACATGACTCATTGTCCAATCGCGATCGTTCAGTAGATGTTTCATACACAGACTCCTTTGACTATCAAAATCTTCACTATCTATCCAACCTTTCCAAACACCTTCAAAATAATAGTATTGATAAATAGAACCACTGATTGACATCAATTTCAAATATTTCGACAGTAATTCATTTCCAGCACATTGCATATAAACTAAATCATGGATCATACTGGTAGGTGGCACGTGTGTCAAAGGAGTAACTTTCGATAATTGAAGTATTCCTTTCAATAACTCCTGTAAGACTGTTTCATGTAGATCGTTGATGATAGGTTCAGCTGTAATCGTTCGCTGCTGTGCAGTAACTTTTATTTGCTGATCAAACAACTCAGATGAACGTAGTATAACAGTGTATAACAATTTGTATATATGCATTTGATCGTACAATGGTAGATAATGCCTCGTAAATAAAAATATTTCGACCGATATATCAAATATGATAGAGCGATAAGCATAGAGTTCGGCTAAGGTACATTTAGTGCTCGTCATTGCTTGATAGAAATATAAACATGACATTGTGAAACTGTCTGTGAAAAGTGTTGGACTACCAGATATAGCCATTACTAAATCAATATAAGAATAAGCTGCTTGTATTGGATCTTTGTCGGCAATACGGTTCACTATAGCACGTTCGTACTTTTTCAATAAATGGAGTAGTTCCGTTCGTTTCAAAAACGTCATCTTCATTAATTGCCGGGGTGTATTGATATTGATTAGGTTAAGTGAATTATTTTTAATATCTTTAATCAATGCTAGACGAATTGTTGAGTGGAAAAAGGGTTGGTTTAAAAATAGTATCAAACTATCCATCACATCATCAAATGGATGTGCGAGCAGAGCATTGTGTACAGCGTTTAATGCATGAACGGGCTCGTTTTCTAATTTGAAAATCATTGCTTGCAAAATATATAGCTTGGATCGATACTCAGTTGGTTCTACTTCAGACAGTTGTAATTTACCGAGACATTGCTGAAGCAATAGTTTTAATTGTTGAATGAAATAGTTTTTTGGATTGAGCAATACTTGCACTAATTCTGTACAAGACTTATAGGTAGCAGATTTTAATTCGTTAAATACTGTTGTGTGTAATTTATTTAATAGTGGTCTGTTTAAAGCTGTCAAATTAATGATTGAGTCGTTTGATAAATTCTGAAAAGTCAACAGAATATGCACTCCACCATTGATGAATCGATCGTTCTTGCCATTTTCGTTGTTCTCTTTTTGAAGTTCATTGAGAAGAAGAAGATGATATTTGAATAGATTTGTCTTGCTAAATCGTTCATCAACTCGATAGCTTTTGATAAATGATGTTAACAATGATCGAACATTTGAATTGTGTTGCTTTGACAAGACAACGCAAATATTGTAAAATGCATTATTACATATGGCGCTGTTACTCGAAGGTAGTTCCTAAATAATAGATAGCACTAGTTTTCAGTTACTTGAAGGTAAAATCAGAAATCGTTCACTCAAAATGATATCTAAATGCGTCTTATTTGCGCCTAATAGAACATTTTGAAATGCGATAATGACAGTCAAATAACATTTTCTACTTTCATGAATACTTTCTGTATTTATCAATTTGTAGATCATAATGAAAGACACCGAATCTATGAAATATTCAGTCGACAGCTTTATACAACAGAAATGAGCTTCAGTTATTATTTTTTATGGAGACTCTGAAGAAAAAAGATCCACACTCTTATTTTTGCATACCTTTCCATCATTTCCTCGTGTACGTTTATATACTACTGTATTAAACATCAATTGTACAGACAGAGCTAATAATGGAGATTGTGCTTGTTGCATAATGATTTGATCTGCAGAATTTGGATCACAGAATAAATAGCAATTCAACGCGATGATGAATTTTCCATCTTTGTAATATTGATCACCCATATTTTTCCAGTCATACGGTCGTCTGACACCATCCAATAATTCAAATGCCACCGGATCTAAATCTTCAATTCCATTGATAAACCATCGTGTCTCGTTATTGCCATTTATGTATTCAGCCATTTTATGACATAGTAGAGCTTTGAAATATCGTTTACTTTCAATATATTGATTCTTGTATTCAATCCAAGACTGGTACTGGTAAACATGTGAAATTGAAAGTCCAGTGACGATGCGACATATATCAGGCGTTGCCGTATTGCAAATATCATTTAACCAATCATCTAATGAAATGTTCGTGCCATTGGCCAGTAAGATTTTGGTTAAAAAGTAGATACAATTATCTTTAGACTTACGAAGATCTGTGTGCTCAATGTGATACAGATACGACAACAGATGAGCCAGCTGGTTAAATTTATTGGATTTGTATAATTGCTGCCCGATGCCATCCCAGTCTTCAAACTTCATTGCAGCATATAGATGAAAGCAAAAAATAGCCAAATCACCATTATTCCTTTGCAGTAATGCTTTTTCTCCAAATGCTTTCCAACTGATTTTACTGCCATATTTAATATTTATGTATAGTAAATACAACAAACATGCATTAGTATCATTTGATAAATGCTCACACACAATGTCAAATAGTTGCTCGACTGAAAGAGAAACACGTTCGTAGCATAATATAGCAAATGCAACACTATTGTGCGACCTAGCTTGTTCTAACCAAAATGAAAGCGGTTTCTGGCATAGTTTCATACAAGTAAACGCATATGAATATTCACTTTTCTTGCAAAGATCAACTGAATAATTAAACCATTGATCATGATTAAGCTTAGCATATGTAAAGCATTGCACAGTCAAATTGTATTGGCCAAGTTGATAGTAGTGCTCTCCAGTTTCTCGATAGAATAATTCATTGCCATTAGGGTGATATTGAAAAAGTAATGCACAATATTCACTCAAGAACTTAATCCGCTTCGATTCAATCATTTGTTTAACATGGGTGAATATATGTTGATACGTCATGTGCTGTTTCTCTTTCGAGCATTTACGACAGATTCTTACGGGCTTTGTGATAAAGCCAAGATGAGGAATTCGTTTACATAATAAGCAATCACTACAATGTTGTTGGCCACACATGCGACAAGGGTGTCGGTGTGTAAAGAGTGAAAACAACTTGCCACAATCACAGCAGCGAGCACTTGTAATTTCAGATGGCGGGTTATTTATCGGGAAATAGAAATCATTCTTGTCGATATACTTGTTTGTAGTGTTTTGGTCGATTATATAGTACATACCTGATGTGGTCCGTTCATCGTTTTTGCGAAGTTTGGAAAAAACGCCCAATGATTCTTCTTGATCATATTCATCAAAAACTACTTTCAAGTTTGTAACTTCAGTCATATTTGGTAGATAATTAACTATTGTAGTTTGCGCCAATGAATTTGGTAATTTCATTAGTTCTGTTTTATTCGATACGTATTGATCAACAAATAAGGTCCAACAGCGTTTGCGTTGCTGAATTATTCGAAGTGGATCTTCCATGGACTGAATTAAACTAGATAGCCCACTCCATTTTTCATGCGCATTCCATATTGGTAAATAAACTGACGTCCGTTGTACTGGTGCCCAATTCCAGATATTCGGCTCAATAACATCCTCTAATGACAAAATAGTCGTCTGTGCATCAAACATGACTTTGTAAATCAAGCAATTTTCACGCTGATGTTTATGTCTGTTGTCAGAAGACTGGTAGCAGATATTGCATTCCACGTAACTGTCCACAGGTGTTAAGATACTGCACTTTTCAATAGCCCTGTTTATAATTTGACTCATTGTTTCATTGAAATTGTTTGAAAATGAAAGTTTGTCAAATTCGGCCACATAACGATCGATACGTTGTTTATAAATATCCGATAGTTTTTCTCCAACATGTAATCTTAATAGAGAAATTAAATAGTTTATGCATAGTTCGTTACATAATTATTCGGTCTAAAAGTACTAGATTTTACTGACTCAAAAGGTTCGCGCAGCACCCGAAATTAAGACATCCGTCTCATTTTGTTGAGAAAAGAACTAAAGTTGGAAAGCTGTTAATTATATGAACTTGAGACAATCGCCTTATTTAAAATCTAAATGAATCTCATTTACTTCATTTGAGTATTTTTCATCGTTGAGTGTGCTTCATCGTTATCATCTTCGTCATTGCTGCCGTCCAAGTCCACATCTGCGTCGTATTCCATTCGTCGCTTTTCATCATATAAAGCGTCATAAGCCGATTTAATCGCCTGAAATATGCGCGTGGTATCATTGGTATTTTTATCTGGGTGAAATTCTTTCGCACGGCGTTTGTAAGCTTCACGAATTTCTTGCTTTGTGGCATTTCGACCAATGTCCAATAATTTATAGAAATCATTTTCGTCGACATTTATGAAGGCCCTTAAATAAAAATATGTGCAGCAATTAGTCTTCTCTACTCAACAATAACATCGAGGTGACTGCAAACGACAGCCGTTTTACCCTATAATCAATTATGTTCAAGTCCAATATACTCTCTGCTAAAATTTCTCCGATGTCTCTTGAGACTGGAAACATCTCTTGCATGAAAAAGCTGCAAAGTATATTAGAATATTGAGAGCTGATGTCGAGAGTTCTTTTAATGATGGCTCAACTATTCTTATGGGTTTCCCTAAATATGAGACAAAAACGTTTTAATGGACGATGATATGTTTCTAAAATTACACTCGCTACATTCACTGGAATGTGGTTTTCTTCGATTAAGTCGAATTAAAATAAAGCTCACTGGAAACCGATGAACCTTTGCATGAGCTCAAAAGCATATTGACATTACTTTTGAATTCAGCGAAGTATCTTTTTCAACTATGCTTCAGGTAATCGTTCTGTTAAAATTTATAAGACGCTTACTTAGCATCAAATTCATTATTGTCATCATCAGACATATCACCATCCGTTTCTTTAGAAGCTAATGTTGCCATTTTTTTGAACTCACACCTAGGTATTATCCAAAATCGTGTATATAACACTCTTCAAATATATTTCAGCGAAACGAAACTGAAAGATATACCTGTGTTATCATTTTATTTCAATATTATAACTGTGGACACCTAAAGATAAATGTTATCGAAGATAAACAGAACTCATAGGACATAGCTATATAACGTATGCAAATGAAGCAACATCATTACTGGTAGAACAGAAATCTTATGACAGAATTGATGATGTTAGAAGTCAAGTTTTTTAATAAACCACCCAGGTCAATACTGCATAAGTGTAATGATGCTCGTAAAATATCTTAGTTGATGCTGGTAGAAACAAGAAAAAGCTTTCAATATCTCTTCTGGGTGTTTAACATAATCATCAAAAACAATTGTAGAGATATGATTACATGTGAATCAGTAGCGTAACAAGAAAATTTTGCTTTATTGGCCGTAATGGAGAAGTCTCTAGAAAAATCGAGTGTCCGCCTAGAAAAAAAAGCTTGGACAGTTAGCTAGTATGCTACTGTGTATATTATAGCAAAAACAAAAAATGTTGGAATCATCTTTAGGCCGGACTGGTATCATAACGGGTGTACCATAATGAATGAGCCTCTCCGTATTTTTCATTTTTCTCCCCTATTTTTCGCCATAGAAAAAAAAACTTTTTTTTAATAGAAAGGTTCCTCGTGAAATTCTCTGCAAAATGTATATATTTTTATTATCTTAAATAATCTCCATTATTTCGTAACATGCGATACAATTGATTAGTCCAAAATCCCTAACTTTCAAAGGCTACATTTTAATACTTCGATCATTGCTGCTTTGAATGCTACTCTATTTAAAAAAATCAATACATCACAAGATGCAGCGTGAAAAGCTCTACAATCTACAAATTAAAGTTTATTTTAATTGCATACTTTTTGTTTTCAAAAAAAGCAAAACTCTACGAATAATTTTTGTCGTCGTGCAAGAATCATTTTTTTACATAAACGAGCATCTTTTTTTCGTATTTTATCTTTTTATCATTTAATATGTTTTCTTTAAAAAAAACCAAACATATCACAAGATGCAGCATCAAAAGCTCTACAGTTCACAAAGAACAGTTTGTTTTATTTTCTGTATTTTTTATGTCCGAAAAAACTCTAAATTCTGTGTGATCGGTTTTTGCAACGCCAAAAAAATTGATCGTACAGAGTTTTGCTTTTTTTGAAAACAAAAAGTATGTAATTAAAATAAACTTTAATTTGTAGGCTGTAGAGCTTTTCACGCTACATCTTGTGATATATTTTTTTTTTAAATAAAGTGGTATTCAAAGCAGCAAAGATCGAAGAGTTAAAATCTGTTGTAAAAAATTCGCAAAAATGTTGTCTTTGAAAGTTAGGGATTTTGGACTAACCAATTGTATCACATGTTACAAAATAATGGAGATTATTTAAGATAATAAAAATATATAAATTTTGTAGAGAATTTCACGAGGAATCTTTCTATTAAAAAAAAGTTTTTTTTTCTATGGCGAAAAATAGGGGAGAAAAATGAAAAATACGGAGAGGCTCATTCATGATGGTACACC